ATCGTCGTTGCGGGGGTATATAGACGAGGACACAAATCAATATATCCATCTTTGTCTTCTCTTTATCTTATTGAGAGGGAGGGAGGGAGGGAGGAAAAACACAAGAGACATGAGCTTGTCAATTTGAACCCAGGAGATGTCTTTCCCAATTTCCAACAAGATTTATTGCCCACCGCGGGAAAAAAAAACAACAAAACGTTATTTTTCTGGTACGTGTTTCACGGCACTTACAAAACAATAAGTTCGAAGATCAGAGTTGTAACAAGAGAGTAACAAAAAAAAAAAAAAAAGAAGGAGAGATAAATATAATAGATGTTAGACAGGAAAGACTGAGCAAAACATACCAGAGCACCCGCCAACCATCTTCTGGACCAAACCAATACATAAATCTTCGTTTACTCTTTATATTGAGTGGGAGTTTTTAGTTTTAGTAAAAGTATTACGGAACTTGCAACAACTAAGGTCATGTGAGAGCCGAAGGTTAGAGGTGTAACAAGAGAGTAAAAAACAAACAAAACAGAAGGAGAGATAAGCATGATAGACGTCCGATAGGAAAGACAGAGCAAAACCTACCAGAGCACCTGCCAACCCCCACTAGACCAAACCAATACACCAATCTTTGTTTACTCTTTATATTGAGAGGGAGTTTTTAGTTGTAGTTTTAGTAAGAGTTTTAAGGCACTTGCAACACAATAAGGTCAAATTAGTGCCGAAGATTAGAGGTGTAACAAGAGAATGACGAACAAAAAAGAAGGAGAGATAAGCATGATAGACGTCCGATAGGAAAGACAGAGCAAAACCTACCAGAGCACCTGCCATCCACCCACTAGACCAAACCAATACACCAATCTTTGTTCTCTCTTTATACTGAGAGGGAGTTTAGATCACTTTGAACCCGAAGAATCGTGTTGTGCCCAGGTAGGAAAAGATTTACACACCGGGAGAGGGGGAAAAAAAAGCAAACAATTTACAAACATACAGAAGGTTTTGTTCGTTCGTTCGATAGTTTTTTAACGTTTGTGTATCTTATCTCGCTACGCCAGCTGGCTCGTTGACGACGGAAATGATTATGAGAATCCGTCTCAGAAAGAAAAAAAATTATTCTGAGAGAGCCCACCTTTTCCGTCTATTATACCAGGAAGAACCTGCTGTTGATCTTACAAACAGCAAGGCTAGGTTAAAATTCTTCTTTTTTTCTTTTAAAATGTCATTGCAAGTTAAGGGGGCCACCATTGGCACGATTTGATCATCTGGAAGGTGGACTGCTTCGAGCCTGCCAGCCGCGGCTAACCCAGAAAGAACGGGTTATTAAAAACAAATTCCAAAACCCACACGTTGATACTCAATTAAAAATAAATAATACATTAAAAAAAATAATAAATAAATAAATAAATAAATAAATAGGTAAATACCCATTCGGGAATTGAATTTTACATCTTTTGTGTGCAACAGCTGCATAAAATTCAAGCACATAAATGGAGATGTTCGATTAACAAAACAAAAAAAATCCCCAATCGGGAATCGAACTTATGTCTTTTGAGTGCAAAAGCCTAACCACTGCAGAGCAGACACCGGTAAGTTTGGAAATAAAGCAGGCTTTGTTTGTTTGTTTGTTTAAGTAAAGAGAAACACATCGACACAATAATGGTCATTTAGTAATCGAAAAAGTAAGACAAACAGACAGAAGCAGCAGAGGGAAAGTAAAGAAATAGGACCTACCAGTGGCGCCCTAAAACCATCCTCGAAACATAGAAGGGTGCGATGTGATAAAGTTATAATGGCGATAGGGTGTTGTGCGAAAATGATGGGGCATTGATTGACATGATACAGCACTTAAGGGAACTATCACAAAAAACAGAAAAATTCTCTTCAAATTGCTAAGCCACGAGTTCGAATCCTGGTCGGTGCTTGACGTTGGTTCCATGGCAATCGATCACACTCGACACAAGCTCTCTTCCCACTTCATCAAGTGAGAACGATGTCCTCTTTAGAGCCAGCTAAAGTGCAGTTAAATCATTTTAGGAGTAAACAATATATATTTGTAATAACTAAGACGAAAATAAATATATAAAAAACAAATAAAGCCCCTGGAAAACGAACGATTAGAAAACGTTCCGCCACTCCGTGGGGAAGCCGTGTGTGATTGACTGCGGCACACGTACACCTACGAGATTAAGTTAAGCTGTTTGCAACCGGATATTCGGGAAGTTCATTCAGTGCAGAGAGGCAAAAGATTACAGACAAAAATTTGTCGGTATTTTTTTTTTTTTTTTTTGGGGGGGGGGGGGGGGGGGGGGGGGGGGGGGGTTTTTTTTTTTTTTTTTTAACGTAGGGTTTTGGGGTCTTATTCACACGTCCTCATCGATACAATTTAGATGATTCAGGAGGCGGGCTTCCGATCCCTGTCTGTCAGGGCTAACCCGGGCTGAAAGGGTTACAACATCCCAGCAGAAATACCGAGATACTCGACAACAACTTAAATCGGACATTGAACATGGGTCTCCTGTGTGTTATAAGCAAAGATTCTCATCTAGTAGTTGGGAATTTTTGTTATAACGAGGCGCCTTACCGACAAACCACAAACGCCGGTAAAGGAATCGAACTCGCATCCTCCGCTTTGTTTGTTCGGTTGGTGGTTTGGGTAAAGATCCAGAAGTATATCGACACAATAATGGTAATAATTTAAGCTGATGGGCGGGGGGAAGAAAAGAAGATTAAACGTGCTTTAAAAGGTTAACAAACACAAAAAGGTGGAGAGACAGAGACGATAGATTATGTTGAATAGGAGAGATGGAGCAAACCACACCAGAACACCCGCTAACCGCCTAATCCAACCAAACCGAAGACCCACCAGAGAAGAAAATACACAGAAGTCGACTCTGCTGTATGACCACCTGTCCAAGACAATCACCAGTACAAACAACCCC